CGAATCTTTTCATAAAGTTCAAAATCTGAAATTATTGTCAATATTAGGAAAATATTTGTTTAAATATTAGTTAAACTTCATACCTTTAGCTTTTGATTTTCTCCGATCTCACATCCTGCAAATTGTCTCATATCTTGAAATGTATTTTCCATCTACAAGAAAAAGCAACTATAAACTATCTAAAGCATATGTCAATAGAGCATATAGAGTGTAATTACCGTAAATGCTAAAGAGCACAGCAGACAGCCAGCAATTATGCTAATGCAAGTGAATAGTGTCACCAATAAGAATATGAACAATTTAATAAAATAGTAATGTTCTAAGAACAAAAAGGCATAATATAGAAAACTTGTCGACCAAACGACTCCAAAGTAAACAAATCCAAATACAAATTTATATTTAGAATTGAACTGTTGCATGAAAATCCAAAGTTCTTCATGATGCATCATTAATTCGTTTAGCTTTTCTCGTAAATCATAATCAATTCTTTTTATTGAAAGCAGCTCCATCGACAATTGCTCAAATTCTTTATGCGAAATCAGCATTAACAATGCCACTAAGAATAAGATGTTACCGATTCCGCCAATAAAAAAACCTGCAGTTAAGGAGGTGAATGTAGTACAGAAGAGAGCTTCCCCATGAAATTTTTGCTTCATTTTTATGTAAGGATAGAGAAATACAGTGGCCGCGATTTGATACAAATCAATAAATACTATTATAACAATGGAAATGAGCAGAGTAATATGTTGTAATAAAATGTTATTTTCGTTAATCATTTTTACTCGAAAGTATTTATTTCTTAATGGCTTTTTCAAATTGAATTTGTGGCGTTTTATGAATTTCAATGCAACACAATACATGATGTATACAACAGAAAACACTGTTTTAAATAACATGGAATTTATTTCATATACATTATACCAACCGATGCATATCGCATATTCATTGACTACTGGGATCATTTGCCATATGAAAAGAATTGTATATCCGCGTAAAGTCAGTTCGATAAATCGAATATACATATTCTTTAATTTGGTATTTTGAAATTCTCTCCCTTTCTTTGAGCATTTACAATTACAAGTTTCAAATGCGTCTAACCCAAATATAAGAGCAGTTGTCCAACAAGGGCTGATGAAACAGCTCAGACAAACCTCTTGTAAATTCGAACTCATGCTCAGTGTGTATTCGTGTCTAGGCTTTACAGAACAAAATGAAACTGTTCATGGAAATACTGGTTACGTAAACTCATTATCTCTACAAATTTTATAATGCCATCAATAATAACAATAATGGTGTATTCAAAATTAAAATTTAATGAGATATTGAATAAAATCAATTTATTGACTATTGGCTATCAAATTCCTATGTAAAGTTAACAATAATTAAACAAACCATTGTAAATGTAATTAGTTATAACAACACAAAACCATATCTTAAGTGGCTTTTAAGTACTTTTACATCGGGTAACTAATTAAATTTACATTCTTAAAACTTTTCCAAACCTTTTATGAGTATTTTTAAGAAATCTGCTATTTTAGTGATATTTTATTGCATTGATCGGTATATTACATACTGCATATTTATGTCTTTCTTAATTTTAAATTCGTTACAAATAGATTCTTTAGTAGACAAGTCAACCCATTACGAGAAATATGCTCATGTTGTTGGAAATTATAATCTTTTGTCAAACGATAAAATATTTGAAGTGTTATTGTATATGTTATGTAATCTTAAAGAAATAATACATCATGTTTCTTATTACACCTTCTGTATAAAACCTATTTTATAAAATTAACATATTCTACACTGATTGTAAATACAATAAGCAATGTTGAAGAAAGAACCACTGACAGATTTGTCCGCATTAAAGACAATTAATTTTGCACATTAGAGTCTAAATATGTAAGCATACATAAGCTGTTCTAAACTTTTCAAATAGGAAAATTTTCAAATAGGTACAATGTAAAGAATGTAATGTTGATAAAGTAGACAATGTCAATCCTTAACTTTATGAAAAAAGTAAAAAAGCGATGTTATCTTGTAGTAAGAAAACAAGTCAAAACGAAGAAGAGATAAAAGTAAAATACCAACGAGTCTTGTGTTACTTAAGTTTTGTAGAGGAAAAGTAATGAAAAAAAAATAGATTGAAGCAAGAATTATGCTAAAAATAACGTTTAAATCGTAATCTTTATTACAGTTGTAAAAAACTACGGAGATAATATAAAAAATTACACGTAAGTTATTGTGATATCTAATTTTAGATTATTACAAATTAAGAAACATCCAAGATCGAGTATTTCTAATAGAAAAATGGTTTGCTTCTTAAAAAAATACTAGAAAGTCTTCTGCGTTGTTTTTAATACTGTTCATAAACAAGTGTTCAGTTGTATAAGCCAAGAAAGACGGTCAAATAATTTACAGAAAAGAATATCTTAACAGCTGTTATAGGAAAAAACGGGTTACTTTAAATGTAACATGTTGTAAACACGTTCTATTTGTGAGCCGCTAAACGACGGCCGGTGTTCGGTAGTTTCACATACTTGATAAATATAAATGAGAAAAGTACAAATAAAACGAAAAAAGAATAAAAAAAGAAAAAGAGTAATATAAAAAATTAAAGTAAGAACGGAAACAGATATTACGTAATACAGTAGAAGTACAGTACATCGAACAATATCTCATTTATTTATTCTTATCATAGTTACATTATGACTGAAGTGGATGCTGAAACACAACTCTTGAAATAAAAATAATAATTTCACTATGACATAACGAGTAAATACAGTTAAGAATGTATAGGTTTTTTTTTAAAGCTGAAAACATTGTCATTATACGATATTTTCGTTATTATTCAGGTTTGCAATAATGACAGTGAAAAAAAAGAAGCTTAATATTTAAATATATATGAACATGATAAATATCGTTTCACGAGTAATTGTAATACGCTACACGTGCGAATCACAGATCTATTTAACCCCATAGATACGTTCCATTCTTTAGGAATCCGATTTCTTACGAGTCCTTCCAATCACAGCCCGACACGTGAGAAGTTTACGGACTACGGCTGATTGAAAGGTTTTCTTCCATAAAATTAATCGATTCTAGACTAATCCGACTCAACATTTCCAAAATACGTATATTTTTTCGTAGTTTTATAGGAATCGTAATTATAGGGACCGTAATTATAGGGGGGTCGACTGTACT